TCTGTGAGTGAGTATGTGTGTGTGTGTGTGTCTATGAGTGTGTGTGTGTGAGTGAGTGAGTGAGTGAGTGTGTGAGTGTCTATGAGTGAGTGTGTGTCTATGAGTGAGTGAGTGAGTGTGAGTGTGTGTGTGTGTGTGTGTGTGTGTGTGTGTGTGTGTGTGTGTGTGTATGCGTGTGTGTGTGTGTGTGTCTGTGAGTGTGTTTCTCTTCACTGTTTTGAGCAGGAGCTCTGCGATGGCGCTGAGGTGTCGCGGTGAGGATCCGCTCACGATGATCATGTGGTCGGTGTATTTGAGCTCCGGCGGGACTCTGATCACACAGACGTCCGAGGCGTTCTCCTGCTTCAGGACCGACACCAGCAGAGCCACGTCAAACTCCTGAACCCAGCCTGAGCAACAAAACACACTTCAAGGATTATGATCATTTACTCAGCCTCGTGTCATCAGAGATGTTCATCTCTTTCTGTCTTCAGTCGCAAAGAAATGAAGGTTTTTGAGGAAAGCGTTCCAGGATTTTTCTCCATATAATGGACTTCAATGAGGACCAACAGGCTGAAGATCAAAGAGCTCTACAGGATCCCAGCCGAGGAATAAGAGTCAGAAGCACCGACCCAGTGTTTACAAAGCGAACCTGCAAAGAAAGTCAAACGCCCTTCACAAAAAAAGTCAAACAATGATGTCGGACGATTCTGAAGTTGGAGGAGAAAATGAGATGGCGTTTTTCTTTCTGAACCGGAGCACACAGAGGATTACGTCAGCATCTGTGCTTTAACTATATAAATGTTTATTTGTTCAGAAAATGAGCGATGGTTTCTCTAGATGAGACTCTTATTCCTCGGCTGGGATCCTGTAGAGCTCTTTGATCTTCAGCCTGTTGGTCCTCATTGAAGTCCATTATATGGAGAAAAATCCTGGAACGCTTTCCTCAAAAACCTTCATTTCTTTGCGACTGAAGACAGAAAGAGATGAACATCTCTGATGACACGAGGCTGAGTAAATGATCAGGAAAGTTTTATTCTGGCAGTGAACTAATGCTTTCAGTCAAACAGCAGAAAAACGAGGATTCTCCTTTAAAAACTAAACTGATTTTAAACCATTCAGATTTGGACAAATTACACATTCATGAGAACGAAGCACCTGTGCATTTAAGCACTTTGCGTTAGTGAGATTAAATGTGATTAGTAGTGTCACCAAAAAAAATCTTAATTTGACCACAAAATTAACAGAAATTGCATAAAAAGAAACCAATTTTAAGAACATTTGCACTGCATTAATGAGAATTTTAAGAGTAAATGTGCTTAATTGTCAATTAAATAATATCGCAATCTTTAAATAGGCTTAATTTCACCAGATAATAATAATTGCATTGAAATAATGAGAACTAAAAGATTAAGTATGCTTAAAAACTAAAACAATAATATAGCACCAGTATGTGGAAAATAATGTGTTTTTTGATCCTTAAACCGCATAAACACATTTCATTACACCAAATACACAAAATAATGTTCTTTTTAGCAGCATCATATGACCCCTTTAAGTTGCATTAATTGGTTTTAATTACTGCATTAATTACTGATTTCTCCAGAATGCTGTGGACAGCAGCTAATAGCAATCAGTGCTAAATAATAATAAAAGTGCTGAAGTGTGCTTCACCAAACATTCGCAGACACGTGACGCTGTGATCCAAGCAGTGATGGCTAATAATGTAAATACACAAACAACACCACCAACAGAGATTTAGAGGAAACATGGGACCTGATTCAATGTTTTATAATGCATTAATCATTAAATCAATAAATAAACAAGCAGTAATACTAATAGTCGATACAGATGGTGTAGATTTAATTATGACAGGTTTATACTGGGTTGATAATGAAAATTAAATATCAAATAGAAATTATTTTTAATTATATTTTTTGATACAGTTCATGCTTCCCTGAATGAGGAAATTAAATTGCATTTTGAGAGTTTGATTTATTTATTTTTTTTGATAATTTGATAATTTAATTTTGTTAGGAAAAATCTTATTGAAATAAGATTGTGAAAGAAATATGATTTGTTTTCATCTTGATCTTTATGTGTTTAATTTAGATTCGAGTTAGATTATTTTAATATAATAATAGCAAAACAGCCTTGCATACTGAAAAAAAATCTGATGATTTGCGAAAAAAAAGGCCTAATATCTAATCTGACGAATAATAATAATAATAAAAAAAACTTTCCAAAAACTTTGCATCAGTTTTTTTTCGCATTAAGAATGAAGCTTTTTCAGATGTTGTATATACATATATATATCAGCAGTAAAATGTCAAAAGTGTAAATCAGGATTAGATATTAAATGATGTCATGCGTGTGAAAATGTGCTGAGAATTGATCAGATGATTGTAATCTGGATCAGATTCAGACAGGAATCATGTGTTTGTGCTGTTTTCTGCTGATTAAAGGAGAATACAAGACTAATCACCACACAAATGAGACATGAGACAGTAGATTATTGACCTGAACACTCACACTCACACACACACACACACTCACACACACACACACATAAGAGTTGCAAAGTTATACACACATACACACTCACACACATAAGAGTTGCACAGTTATACACACAGACACACATAAGAGTTGCACAGTTATACACACTCACACAGACACACTCACACACACACACACATGTCTGGTTTGCTATTCTTGTGGGGACTCTCCATAGGCGTAATGGTTTTTATACTGTACAGACCGTATATTCTATTGCCCTACACCAACCCTACCCCTAAACCTACCCCTCACAGACAG